ATTCTGGTCCCTGTTGCAGGCACTCTCACAAAAACTCAAAGACCCCTTGCCTTGGCATAGTTTTGATCAGACACTTACAGGTCACATTCCTTCTCTCACCCTCCCAGGCCACGCAGCCACCAGTTCCGGAAACTACATCTAGACTTCAAGTTTTTTTCGGAAAAAGATAAGCAAACTGAGAACCTCAATTTGCGTATCTTTTTCCGGAAGAGGCTTTTCTGAAATTTGGCCCGTCTACACGGGGCCAAATATCAGAAAAACCTCCTCTTTCAGAACATCCCTTATTCTTCTCAGCAAGAGGAATACAGGGATGCTGAAAGAATGCACCCACTTTTTCGGAAACAGTCAGAAAAAGCGGACGTGTTCCTTGGACGTGGCAGAGGTTTTCGGGGATACCTCTGCAATCTAGACATGGCCAGAGAGGCCAAGGTTTGCACAGCTCCATGCATGACATTTCTCATCTGTGTGACAACGTCATGAATCTCTCCTATAGACTCCTGCAACTGCTAGGGAGAGTAGGAGATCATGTGAGGAACTTCATATGCCTCCCACCAAAAGTCAGTTGCTACCACCACTTCCTTCCCCATAAAACTCAGTTAAGTGCCTCTCACTTTTTTGAGGCTCTGCAGGAAGCCCTCAGGCCTGGGGGAAAGTCTTTTCTCAATTTCAGGGTGCTATCCCAACCCAGAGATGGGCTCCCCTGAGAGCTCCCCAGCCTGCCTCAGCTCTCAAATAATTTTGTTTTGGCTTTTTTTCTGTACTTTCTCCAGTTTTAACTGGACACAACACTCCAGTGCTGGTGACACCAATGCCCTACTGAGGTAAAATAACCTCCTGCTCCTCTCTGAATACATCCAATGACTGGATTAACTCTTTTGTGCCACAGCTTAGCACTGGGAGGTCTTAGCCGGAGCACTTGCATCTCTCCCATGGAGAGGGCAGCAGGGACAGAAGCTGTGGGAGCAGGACAACAGCCCCAAGAGGCAGGAGCAAAGTAGGGAGGGAAGTTCACCTGACAGCCTCAGGGGAGCAGGTGAGTGGTGGCAAGTGGTGCGAGCGTGAGCTGGAGGACTCAGGAGGAGCAAGGGATGATTGTGCAGCTGGCCACCCCATGTTCCTCTAGAGTCCTCTGGGCCTGTGTTTGCAGCACCGCCTGATGAACTGCAGCTGGGCACAGCCTGCAGGGGGCTTCTCCAGTTCTCTCTGCCTTTAGAAAGTAGGAGCCAGCTGTTCTAGCCTGGCAGGTGGGAGAAGAGTCCCTCTGGATGATAGAGGCCCTGTTTCTCTTCTGAAGAAAAACGATAGGGGGGGAGGGGGGACGAGGTGAGGTCAGTCCAGCCAGTTATCCACAGAAGTTTACAGGAGAAGAATTAAGACCATTATACCCACCCATGCAGACACCAAGGATGAGGGGGAACAGTTTGGGAGATGGGACAATAGGGAGTTTGTGGGATTTTACACAAAATATTGTTTAAAAACATCAAATACTCTTAACAAATGAATTAAAAAATAAAATATTGAAATATTTCCCATCCTAAACAAATATTTATGGGAAGCCTTAGCAAGGTGGAATATCCCTGCGGGGTGGCCTGATGTTGTGAAGGCCAAGATTATAACAGGGTTCAAGAAAGAACTAGGTAACTTCATGGAGGATGGGTCCATCAATGGCAGTTGGCCGGGATGGGTAGGAATGGTGTCCCTAGCCTCTGTCTGCCAGGAGCTGGGAAAGGGCGACAGGAGAGGGATCACATGATGACTGCCTGTTCTGTTCACTCCCTCTGGGGCATCTGGCATTGGCCACTGTCGGCAGACAGAATACTGGGCTAGATGGACCTTCGGTCTGACCCAATATGGCCGTTTTCATGGCTAACATTCAGCCCTTAGGCTTTCAGAGTTTGGGGAAGCAAAATGGCTGCAGAGGGCGAGGGGCTTGGGGTTCAGGGCAGCAGGTAGCTGCTGAGGAGCTCAGTGTGGGTAGGCAAGAAGCTGAGGAGCAGGTTCCTGCCAGGGCTGAGGAGAAGTGATGGCTGGGAAGGGAGAGGAGGACTTAGGAAAACAGAAGCTTTGGGAAGAGGGAGTAAATGGGGCTTGGGAAAAAAGAGGAAGGCAGAAGATGGGAAGATACTGACTGATAGCAATGAACCAGGAGAGATAAAGGCAGAAGGAGGGAAAGCAGGCTAGCTTGGGGGCAAGGAACCATGTAGCAGGTACCCCCAGGATGCCCCATCACATTATTGGATTTTAAGGGGAGCAGCCAGATCACTGCTGTGCCCACGGGGAGGTGTTTGCCCCAAAGTCTGTACAAAGGGCGCCATGTGAGGTGTCAAATGAAAGCTTATGTTCTACTGATTCCGTGTATGCTACTTATATACTTGTATGATGTCTGTATGTGGAGTTATGAATATGGACTCTGTGCTGATACTGGCCTGGACTGCCTGTTGTAAAGAACAATTGTTCAGTTGATGATTAAGCTAATTAACAGGGCCGCAAGGACAATGGCTCGCAGAGAGGCCAATACACACCTGAGGAATGTGTCTGGGGACATGCAAACCAGCCAGGGCAAAATGGAGATAGGTCACTTGACCATGTGGCCTGCTCTACTTGGGAGACATCAGGAATGGATATAAATTGCCATCTGGCAGTCTCCATCTTGTCTTCAATCTTGCTACTAATCCCAGACGCAGCCTTGCGAGGGATAGAGACCCGGGAAGGATCATGGACCCATCCTGACATAGGATGTACACTAGAGACTTTTAAGATAGCAGTTATAACATCTCTGCTGAAAGCCTGCATCAAGAACTTGGTGATTGGTGCATGTAATATATTCTTCTTAATAACCCTACTCTCAACTTTTTCTTTCTTTTATTAATAAACCTTTAGATTTTAGATTCTAAAGGACTGGCTGGCCCAGCGTTTGTGGGTAAGATCCAAAGTGTAAACTGACCAGGGATTTGTGGCTGGTTTCTTGGGACCAGAAGAACCCATTCAGGATAGGTGAGATTGGGTTATATAACCCCTCATCTGTGTGGAAGGCCCGGGGCTGATTGTGGCACAGGGAGAGCTGGAGTGTGTGAGGGGTTTTGCTCATGAGGCTCCCTTCTGGCCGGACTGGCAGCCGAAGCGGTCTGTGAGGCTGGTTTGTGGCCTGTTTGGGAAAGGTCTCCAGTCTGGGGCTGTAAGGAGCCCTGGTTTTGAGCAATTCACCCTGAGTGGACACCCTCAGCTGTGCCCAGACCTGGCCCAGTCCATCACAATAGGGCTTGGGAAAAAGGAGGAAGGCAGAAGATGGGAGAAGATGGGAAGATACTGACTGATAGCAATGAACCAGGAGAGATAAAGGCAGAAGGAGGGAAAGCAGGAGCTAGAGTAGGCTAGCCTGGGGCAAGGAACCATGTAGCAGGTACTCCCAGGATGCTCCTAGAAATTTTTCACGTAGCACGGACACCTGAACAACTCTCATTACAGTCATTGCAGCATCTCTCAGGTATGGCCTGGCAGAGCTGCCAGACCATGTTTCATTGAGTGGTGTTCAGTGTTCCCTCTAATTTTTCCATCTCCTGTGCAGAATAATTTTTGTTATATGCACCAAGGCACGTGCAAATGTGCACCACCAGTAGAAACACAGACTGCTGGCAGGGAGCACTGTGGGTACTCAGCAGGGTGGCATTTGACTCTCTCCTGCATGGCCACACAAGCACACAGCTTACAGGGAACACTGGTGGTGCTGTGACCCTGTGCATGGGGTTGTGGTATTGGTCAGTTGGGGAGTCACTCTCAGATGAGGTGCCCAGGACAAACTGCTGTTTTTGCTCTATTCTCAGAGCATCCCTGCCTCTGCCAATTGTATGCACTGCATGTAATGTGGGTACAGCTGTAGAGGTCACTGAAGGTATCTCTTGGGGCTAGGGAGCAGTGAGAGCTGAGATGGGGAGGCAGATAAGCAGTGGCACTTTAGCCAATTAAACCCATATTCCGGGGCCCTAGTCAATTGTAGGGGGGTGGGGGGGCAACAGAAAAATGGATGCCTCCCCCCTCCCCCGCTCTGACTCACTCTGCCCACCTGCCACTCTCCTCTTCCCCAACAGAAGCACTGGATGCAGGACCACCCTTAGGTATACACAGCATATGCATTTGCATAGGGAACCTAAAATTTGAGGTATCTCTAGGTCTTAGTGTTAACCCGTCGGCCTCTTCATATCCCTGTTTTGACCCTTCCTGCAGGCTCTCACCACAGCTGGCTGCTGCAGCTCCTGAGACTTCCTCTGGAGAGGATTTAGTAACTTAAAAGTGAAAACCTGCCAGATCTATTAACACAACACTGAAACAGTTAAAGAGGCATTCAAGTGGTAAGGAAGCCATTTGACAAGCATTTGCCAAGTGTATATTGTCAGTTTCTGAATATATGACAAAAACTGTTGTGCATCACTGTAATATTTACTCAGAACATGTTAATCTGTAGGATCTTAGTTTAAAATCTGCTTTAAAATATGTCATTAGTTTGGTGCTGAAGATTGTAAAATCACCTCTCTCAAAATCCTTGCCTAGATTTTAGAGGCTCAATCTGAATATTCATCTTTAGCCCTAAATGTTTGGACCTTCAGACATAGAGTTTTGTATATAACTCCTTCAAACCTGCACCCTTATCTAAAATAAACATGCCTGTCCAGGCTGCCGTCAGGCATAGGGGCACCAGTTCAGTAATTCTGCATAGGGCTTTGTAAATCCTAACCCAGCCCCTGACCCCACTCCCGAGCAGGAGTGCAGGGGAGCCTGCGGGCAGAAGGTGTGGAAAGGGGCCTTCAGTTGCTCTGGCCCAGTGCCACACTCAACAATAAACTGCCTCTGGGAACTGTCCTGCGGTGGGCAGAGGACAATGGAGTCAGGAAGGGAGGAAAGGGATCAAGAAAGCAGGCAGCTGCAGGGAACAGGAAGGTTTGAGAGTGCAGTCACCTGTTCCCAGACCACAGGAGAGCAGAAACTCTGTGTATCAGCTGGAATGCCTGAGGAAGAGGTCATATAACTGGCCATAAACCTGCAAGAGTTGTCAACACTGTTACTGCTTACAGGTTATAATCTTCTCGATAGCCGTGCAGGAAGAGTCAGCTAGGAAACCACTTAGAAGAAATCCATGTCTGTGTGTCTGCCACAGCCAGAGGGAGAAAACATGATTACTGCCAGGAAGAGATTCATTGAGAGGTTGGATCAAGCCATGGCTAATGCTGAAAAGAGGGCCCCAGCGGACCTGCTATGGTCCTATAAAGGGGTTTTGTACCCAGCTATCCATTGCAGCGTGGAAACTTTCCAAGCTCTTGAGTCCTTTGAAGCAAGGAGCGATGATGTGTTACTAGTGGGATACCCTAAAACCGGTGAATATTTTCTTTACTTCATTTGATATTTTGACTAGATTCCTTCTGTCGTGGACAAAGGAGCTGTGAGCAGGGCCCTGGGCAGGCTGAATGTGAGCTCACACTAAAGCTGCTGATTGTGTTTTAGAAGTGGGCATTTAAGCTTGTTCAGAGTTACCATTAGCCTTAAGAAAGCCATATATCTACCTCACCCGCATGATTGTTCTACACCAGTAAATTAAGTTGGCTTAACTATGCTGCAGTAGTATATCTGTGCATTGTACCATTTCAAGTGTAGAGGAGCCCTCAGATTTTATACTAAAGAATATCAGGATTTCATTATAAATCTGTTGCTCCTGGCACTTATCAGATGAAGGTTCAAGTGGGGGAAATGTAAGTTTCCTATCAATATTTTTTCTAATGTAGAAGTTTAATCTTGGCTGTTCTCATATACTAAGCTTTTAATTACAGCTTGCACTTAGTTTTTTTGGTGATTAATCATCAGAAAGGACATATGGAAAATCCAGTTATCCATTGGAGTTTGTTGTCTATGCAGTGCTTCACATGCTGAATGATGAATGGAAAAATAATTAGAAATGGAGTTTATTCTCAAACAATCAAATGGTGTGAACTAGCAGGCACCAGCATGAAACTTCTAACAATGAATGGAAAGCTAGCAAGAGAAGGAAATTAAAACTCATGTCTTATAAAATATTGCACATTGCACACTGCAGTCTGGAAAATATGGTTTAAAAATAAATGGCAAATGTTTGAAGTGTGATTCAAAAGCAAGTGTTTGGGCTCAAACCAGGAGTAACTGGGTGAAATTAGATCACTTAGATTAGGCCACCTATAACACAGATAACATTTCACCCAGTTACTCCTGTTTTGAGACCAATAACTTGCTTTTGAATCATGCCTCAAACATTTGCCACTTTTAAAGTATATTTTTCCAAACTGCAGTTTACAGTATGCAACATTTTATAAATAATTAAATATTCATTGGGCCAGAGAATGGTTCTGCAGCA